AATATTATGTCTACCATTTTGTGTTTAAATACAATCCTGGCTCAGTTGGTTGGCGTTTCACCCTGTACACCAAAGGTTTCAGGCTTGATCGCCAGCTGGGATGCATATAGGAGGCAACCAATAGATGTTTCTTTCTCACATTGATGTTTCTTCTCTCTCTCTCCCTTCCTCTCCCTCTAAAAATCGATAAAAATATATCCTCAGGTGAGGATTAAAAAAAAAATTTTTTTTAAGTACACTGAAAGAAAATATACCAAAACATTAAAACTTGTATATAAAGTGTTGCAAACAGTATCAACATTTAAACTGTGTACAACGATTCATAGTTACTACTTTTATATACATTGTATCAGATGAGATAACTTTGCAATCTTCCACAGGGACTGTAGAAGTCTGGAGAAAAAACACTAGCAACCTGAGTGAGAGAACAAGCCACTCTGATAACTAGCAGTGACTGTAATTTAAATTAGGAGCTGTATATAACTACACAGGGAACAGCATTCTAGACTAAAGAACAGCATGAAGGGCATGAATAAAACGTCATATAACAGTACAAAATGCATCCAAGAAGTCAGTAATTCTTAATGGCAGGAATATAAAAAGGATGAGAAAAGAAATGCTATATAAGAGACCAGAATCCAGGAGTGGAGGGCAACCTCCAAAATGTCGTGTGATCTAAAGAACCTAACCTTCGTGCCAAAGTGGTCCTTCTCTTAATACAGACCTTGGAAACAGCCACTATACAAGCTACTTAATTTTTATTTTTCTTGGACAACTGGTTAAAATGACACAAAAATGGACATATTTTACTTACATTTTAGAAAACAGCCAATTCAGAAAGCTTATATGATAACTCACCCATATTTGAAGTGTTTTACATAGAAATAGATTATTGGTTAATGTTTAAAATCATCTTTTATGTTCAGAATATCAGAAATCCTAATTTTTTTTATTTTCTTCCTTCTGTGGCCCTATTTCAATAGGTAAGCTGCAGAAATCTAACAAATGCTGTTGTGCTGAATACATAGCAAATTTAGAACTGTTTATGGCTAAACAGTCACACCGACTACTTGCAGTTCTAATAAAGCTGCTGACATTTACATGTCAGTGTACGGCAGCCTGAGCATGCTGCTCCCGTGGAAATCACGGGCTTTGAAGCAGCACTGTTTGCAGCGAGACCTCGAGTCATTCAGAAATAGGGGCAAGCTTCTATTGATTCTCATCGTCGGTTAGCAAAAATTGAACCATTGCACACTGGGCACACAGTCCAGAAGATAATTAAGTTTCAAGTCATCAGATGGAAAGCGTCCAGCAAGCACCCAGCTCTGTCACTTAACTGGCTATGGGCCTCCTGTGAGTTGCTCAGACTATGTCTAAGCTTGAGATTCTTTATCTATCAAATGCAGGTCATAATTGTATGTAACTTTAATAGCTTAAATGACAAAGATTCTCTCCATGACCAAACTTTGGTCAGGCTCTGAACCCTCTTCTCAATGAGTTTTCAGCCTTGGCCCCAGTTCTGTCTTCAGCCTGCCTAGCCCAGTTTTAGCAAGAATCCTAAGTCATTTTAGGGAGAAACCACATGACTCTGAAATCTAATCATACTCAGTATCTGATCAAGTTCCTCATCCCCAACCTTTGATATTTACACCCAAAACCCTGTTAGGTCAGTTTAGCAAGAATACGTCTATCCCTGATGTCTCCTCTTAGTAATATTCCATCCGCTGACCTCTTCGCCCTGCTCCTTGCCTATACATTCCCACTTCTTATATTCAGAGTTGAGCTAGATCTCTCCTCTATTGAACAGTCTTGAATAAAGTCTTCCTTGCCACTTTAACAAATGTCAGAATAGTTTTTTTCCTTAACAAGAATTCAATGAGTTTTACTGTATGTAAAACACATGGAACAGTGCCTTGCGGATTTCCTCTATTGTTCCCTTTGCACATTTGAAGCTTAGAACCACTGGAAACTGCTTGTTTACTCTGTTTCTTGGACAAGACCATGGTCCCTTAAGAGCAAGGACTTGTTTTTGAATGCCCAGCATCTGTTACATGGTTCGGCCCATTACAAACAATGTGTGCTGAATGAACAGGTTTTAGAAGGAACCAACTAAGTACGCACTGAGAATTTCATGTGACCCCCCTTCCACCTTCCCGGGCCACCTGCATAATTTGAGAACTAAGCAGGGAGTCTTTTCCCAGACAGAGTGCAGCCATTGTATAGTCCTACAAATGTACAGGAACCAATTTCAATTCTGCAAAGCAGCAAACAACAAGTTATGATTTTAAAAGTTGATTATGGCCCCCCAAATATTCCAAGGAATACAACAGAAATAAACTAGTTCCCCAAACCTCACAGAATTGTATTAGCCATGAAATATGCAAATCAATCATCTGGATTTCTGACAGAAATACATATAACACAGTCCAACTAAGGAAGCCGAAGAGTAAACATAAGCCTTTTCAAGAAAAAAAGCTGCGAATTAAAACAAGTAATCACATTCCAGAAATGTGCTCTTTTGGAAACAACCATCAAAATGCTTACCAGGTTCCTCTTTATCTGCACACAGCACAAGTTTTGCTTAGAAACAGACTTCATTTAGTTGGCCTTAAAATCAAACAAACTCAGATTAACATCAGAGGTTTTCTTGTTTATTTTATTTACTCAGTACCGTGTTATTACGGTTTCTTAACCTGTTAACCGGGGAATTCCCTTTTTACTGTATGCAACGTTTGACATATTTATACGTCCCGCTCGGTTAACAGGATACAGACCTTTTAAAAGCAAGACAGATATCACAGGATGCCTATTCAAGTTGTATGACAGCAAACATTCCATAATCCACTGACGACTGTCCCTACCTATATATCTGGAATGCTGTCCTGATCAAGTCACCTCATTTGTCCTTAAAAGCTAATTCATTTCCAAATGTAACAGAAGCCAACCCTTCGAGTAGGTCAACATAATAATGTAACAAAGAAGACCACCTTGAGAGAAAGAGTCCTGTTCCCTGAAAAAAAATACTACCCCAAACCAGCAGGCCCCAAGTTCTATAAATTAGAAACATCAAGACTTAAACATGTCATAGATCATCTCATTATGTGAAAAGCTCATGCCTCTAAATATCCTAATGAGGCTGGAAAATTCTTTAACTACTAAGCTTATGTAGCTAAGTGAAAGTTTGGGAAATAGTGTTACGAATAAAAGAAAATGAATATTCTACAAAATATACATGATGCATGCCCTAATTTTTTTTCCTAACAATCAAACCCAAACCTGATAAAGAAAACAACTGCACCCATAAACATACAGTGGGAGCCCAGAAAAACTGGGGAGCCTACTGGCCCAGCTCTAGTCTCAGTGCTCACTCTAAGCCCTGCCGCACGGTGGGACGGATCTCACTGTGACTGGATTAGACAGCACTGATCTTCCCCACAGCACTTAGCCCTGTAGATCATCCACCCCGATATTTAAGACATAAAATATCGGGGGCAGAAATGAGACAAATGGAGTTCACGACAATCAGGCAACCAGCAAACTGCTTCAGACTAGCCAGTAACGGACAGTGAAACGAGCCGCTGTGAACAGTAACTGAAGCCTGAACGTGGAGAGGCCAGAAGGATCCACAGCGAGCACTCAGCACACTTCAATTCCTTCATCATAACTCAGCCACTATCCAGACTCAACACTGAGTACCAAAAACAGGGCACAAGAATGCTTTCATAGTGTCCCAGCTACCCAAACCTTAAGAGAACAAATTCAAAACATGTATCAGAAACTGTACCAGGAAAAGACAAAAAGCAAAACATTCACAGATCAAGAAAAATGAGACATTAATAATACCTTACTATTATTATTATTTTTTAAATTGATTTTTAGAGAAAGAGAAATATTGATTGAGAGTAAAACATCAATTGGTTGCCTCCAGTATGTGCCCTGACCGGGGACTGAACTGCGACCCTTCGGTGCACAGGGCAATGCTCCAACCAACTGAGCCACACTGGCCAGGGCAATAAAATCTTGTTTTTAAGTAGCACCAACCTGTGCAGCAGCTCAAATATTTTTGGAAATTAAAAAAAAAAAAATCTAACAGTACTTCTAACTACCCCTGTGTGAAATAGGTAGAATATTATATATATGATTCTGTTTAGCTACTGAAGAAAAATAGACACATATCACACTGCAAATCAGATTCTTAGTTTAATTCAATCCAGCACTCAGCATCCCATACATAGTCAAGTCACCAATTACCCTATAAATTGTAACAAAGTAGAACATAAAAGTGGACCCCAGTTTTTAAGAACTAAACTCTAAGAATTAACAATTAAGTTAAATTGCCTTTAGTTTCAGAAGGAAAACACTTCATTCTATTTAATTTGTTGAATCTACTTTTTAAAGCAGTAAATCAAGAAACTGTTATGATTATTATTAAAGCCACTTGAAATTTACAAATCATAGAGAAAAGTGAAAATTCTAATTCTCACACTGACCAATATTAGCTGACAGCTTTATGCCTCCTTCGAAGGACAAAAGGAATTCAGTTTAAAGTGCAAGGTCAAAGTATACAAAAAGACACATGGCCTGGGAAACCAATAGGTTTAACAACAAAGGATGAGTCAACCAATACTTGTAGATCCCAAGTACTTGAAAGAAATTTTTATTTTGACTCAAAATAGGAATTAAATTGTCCCACTGATGGCCAGGGAAAAAGATCACCTTTAAGTGTTTTATTTGTGCTTTGTAAGAGCTATTTCAATGAGGCACCTTTAAAAGCTAGTATATTATTACAGCATTAAGGAGCGCTTCCTAAATATACCCAATATATCTAACTTCCTCTCAATGCCAACTCTCAGTGAAATCATTCCTTCTTGCCTTCAATACTATTTCGATAAGGCAGAGCCAAAGCAGTTACAGGATGACTAAACCAGAACTTGCTACAGGAATTTCCAAACAGATAAGAACTTAAAAACTTTGCAAATACGCCCTTATTTGAAAGACAAGAGAAACTTGAAGAAAGTATCCAGTGAAAATATGAGCTCCTTTCTTAAAAGGTAAGCTCTTCAATGCAGAGTCTGTCTCCTTATAAATTCTATTCAGTCCTTAGCTTCTGTGCTAATGCCAAGAGGGAAAATGGCTTCTACTGCTGCAATCAAAAGCAACCCACTTGAATGAAATGATAAGATCATTAGAATTTGCTTCCAAATAACCCAGAGCTGGGGGTGGAGGAAGAGATGGAACAAGATTGCCAAGAGTTAACAGTTACTGAAGTTGGGAAATGGATCTGGTTCTAGGAGTTTACTATGATGCCCCCCCCCCTTCTGTTGAAATTTTTCTAAATAAAAGGTTAAATAGAGAAAAAGAAGAAGGCTAGTTTTAGAAAGTAAGTGACTCTCAATTAGCCTATTTCTATGGGCTACCAACTCAGAAAAGAGTTTCTTAACTGAGAATTAAAAAGGAATATAGCAAGAATTTTACAAATTCTTTATAGTTAGAAAACAATTAGTATGATCCCACAGCAGTAAAAGCCTGAATTTAAAAATTACCTGTCTTTAAATTAATATGATTTCTCCTTTATATGTAATTGCAATTAAGCCTAATTTAAAAGAATGGCTATCCCTTCTTTTCCTGGTAACAGATCCTCTTTCTGAAATAATTAAAGGAAATTATGGGATACCCTAGGGAAGCTGTTTCTACCAAAAAACCCAGCCCTTAAACAAAGCTGAGCAAATTTTAAACTATCTTTTACATCAGCTACTAAGGGCTTTAGATTGAACTAAATTAAGCTAATTTTTAACAATTGCATTAGTATATTAATAAATATTCCCATAAATCGTGCTATTCCATTTTCGAAAAATTTCATTCCTTTGGCTCGTGCTAAGAACTGCAGCAAAAAGAGACTGAAGCCCTGGCTGTCTTTTACTCAACAGAAGCAGTGCTCTGATGAGGCCCATCAAGATCACTGCAGTCCGTGAATGATCTGAGCCACCTGACAATCTAGATGAATGCGGACCTGTGAGTTGGCCTTGCTTTAAGTGGACACTTTCTTAAAAGAGACAGATAGATTAGATAAGTAGTCACATGGAAAGTTATTAAGAAGCACATTTCTCTAAGAAGTTATAGCACTCTGCTAATACAGAATTAATCAAAATGCTTTAATAGAACAGGAAAATTAAAACAAAATCTAGGCTGGGAAATGAAACATAACTCGCTGGGCTCACAGGAGTCTCTAACAGATGTTACTGTGGGCTCCTTCTCTTCCTTTTCCCCTTTCCCTTTTTCATTCGGTAGCTGACTCAGAGGCATCTGTTCCCACAGCAAACACGCACATTATTTGAGCTGTCATTCTGCACACATTCCTAACCTATTTGGCAGGGTGGACATTTCTAAAAGGGATAGCAACTACAAAAAATTCATCAAAACTCAAACTGGTCACTGCATCCTGTGTCAACATTGGGTATTTCCAACTGTTTGAAAATTACACTGAGAAGTTGCTCAAAAGAGTTTAATCAACAGGGTTGGCTAATCATGTCATCTTTATGGTAACTTGTACAGCCTTGATCAGATCTCTTTGTGAAATGAACACAAAAGGTACCTTTTAGTAACACATAAGGAATTCAATCTGTGCCTTACAGGAGATAAACCAGTTCTCAGATCTATCCGGAGACAGACAACAAATACTCATGCATTTACCGCAGCAGGGTGGCTCTGTGAACGGCCAGGTTTCCAAAGCTTCGAGGGAAGATGATTAATGATACAAAAGAATACGGCACGGTGGACTTATACAATGGGCTGCTTACAGAAGATCTGCTGCTAACAAAAAAATGCTTCCACCTTAGACAAAGAGGGTACTCAATGCAGGTTCAAGCAGGAGCCAGGCCAAGTGTATCAGTCACAAAAGTAATAGGACTAAAATCAACTTACCAAATACTTGACGTTGAGATTAGTCAAAAAATTGTAAACTCCAAGATACAAAAAAAAAGTCTTGAGTGAAAGAAGAAAAAGACCAAAAAAAAACACCCGAGTTTGATTCTCTAGAGGCTGATGATCTAGTCTGACAATCACCTCGACCCCTTACTTTTCAGGCCTGCGGTCTGCCTCCCAGCATTCCTCTCTCGGTCCCAACTTGTCATGGCGAAGGAGGGAATGAGAACCGAGTGTAACCTGGGTGAACAGACTGAGTGAATAGTTCAGATGAAGTTGAGTGGTGAAGAGAGGAGAACAAGAGAAAGTTAAATTTAACCTTATAATATTCATCTGTGTCCTACATGACCCTTTTTTTTTTATCCTCACCCGAGGACATTTTTTTAAATATTTTTGTTCAGATAGTGTGGGAGGGAGAGAGAGAGAGAGAAACATCGACGTGAAAGGGACACATCGAGTAGTTGCCACCCGCACGACCCAACCAGGGCCGGGGACAAACTGCGACCGAGGTACATGCCCTCAGCGGGAACCGAACCTGGGTCTCTCAGGACCGCAGGCTGACGCTCTAACCGCTGAGCCAAACCGGCCAGGGCCTATATGACTCTTTTAATGTCTGACTCACAACCTAGTAAGTTAAGCAAGAGAAACTGCAAAAGGAAGAAAAAGAAATGGTTACAATATAGCTATAAACACTCACAACATTCAAAACTACATGGAGGAAAAAAGCAAGAGGAATGCGGTAGGATAGACAAGAACATTATCACTAGTGGCCCCGACGAGCCAGACAGAAGACGATCTGGTCTTTGCTTGTATTTAACGCACATTTGTCAAATTTTCAATAACGAGTATGTAAGTTGTTAAGAAAAACAACCTTTGTACAGCAGAAATGACCAAAAAAGTATTTTCATTTTATGTATAAAGGTGGAAGTGTATAAAACTGTTTCAAACCAAGCTGCAGAAGACACTAATAATAACGAAAAGAATTGCTTTCTTCCTATTGTTAGTTTTGTCCATTAGTCCAACAAACATTTATTAAGCAGCTATCATGTACTGTCTACCAAGATCCCTAAAACAGTAAAGACATCAGTAAATTCTCATCATTAAGGTGCTTGAGAACATAGCTATAAATAAATCTTCCTGGCTCCACCTCCAACTTTACCCCTCAAAGAACCTAAGAAATCTTTCTGTAAGGTCACTACATTAAAAAATATACTGCAGATAAAGAGTATTATTGTGAAAATATTTGCTGTCCTTCTCTTACCAGATCCTTCTCTACTTGCCCATCCCTGCAGATCATACGTCTTGCCCACTGAGGCCCTGCTGGCCCAGGGGACTTGCTTTGGCCAATGAAGTATGCGCAGCAACGGCGTATGTTACCTAGCAGAGCAGAAGGAGCTTCCAGAGCCACTGGGAGATTCTGCCATGGCTCTTTTCACTCTTCTATTCTGGGGCCTGGAACGAAGCCCACAAAGGGCATTAATGTGAGAAATAAACTTTTGTTGTGAATGATGGAGATTTGTGGATTGTTACTGCAGCATAATTTAGCAAACGATGACTAATTCATATACCCTTGATTAAACTTCGATACAGTAAAGAACAACACTCACCGACGGCCAGGAGGTAGAAATAAGTAACCTCCTCCCTAGCTGTGCGCACTCTACAGATTACAACTTACCCTTGTAAGAGGTACGTGATGACAGTTTGGGCCCCAAACCATGCAGTCACTAGCCCAGTTCTTGTTTGGTTTTGCTTTGTTTTCGGGGCAGGCCAATTTGCTGCACCTCAGGCACCTGGAGCAGTCCTCGCTCTACCCTTACAAAGGTAGTAAATTCCCTCCTGGGGGAAACTGTGGGAGTGGCACCAGTGAAAATACTCCATGGGGCCGTGGTCAGTTTGGCTCAGCAGTTAGAGCATCAGCCCACGGACCAGTGAGTCACGGGTTGGATTCCGGTCAGGGGCCTATTCCTCAGTGGCGGTCCATTTCCAGCCCTGGTCAGGTCATGCAGGAGGCACTCAGTTGATGTGGCTCTATCACATGGATGGTTCTGTCTGTCTCTCTGTCTCTCCCTCCCTCCCATTCTATACGATGATAAATAGAAAAGTATCCTCGGATGAGGAATAAAAAAAAAGAAAAGAAAAAGAACATACTCCACAGGACACAAGAGAACAAGAAACGTCCAGAAGAATGAAATCTACCACTTACCTTTGAAATAAATTAACTGTAACAATCGTTATGCTGTACTGCTGAAACTAATATGATGTTATATGTCAATTATGTCTTGGTTTTAAAAAATTATGTTACATTTTAAATCAGAAGGTATTATTCAGGGAGGAGGGAGTCAATGGGGGGAAAAAGGAGAGGCATCTGTAATACTTTCAATAATAAAAATAAATTGTATTAATAAATAATAAGGTATTTGCTTCAGAAACAGTAAAATGCAAAAAAAATATTATATCTTTTAAATAATAGGCTGCTGAGCCTTGGCCAGGTGGCCCATTTGGCTGGAGCATCGTCCCGTACACCGAAAAGTTGTGGGTAGGATTCCCAGTCAGTGCACATACCTAGGCTGGAGGTCTGATCCCCAGTCAGGGTGCATATGGGAGGCAACTGATCAATGTTTCTCTCACATCAAAGTTTCTCCCCCAACCTCTCTCTAAAATCAATAAACATATCCTTGGGTGAGGATTAAAAAAGAAAAAAGCAATAAGAAGAAGGAAAAGACCTGCACAAGGAATAGAAAGAGGCCAGTCAGCCGGTGCAAAGTAAACCAGGGACGTACAGGAGGAGAGGAAACTGGCGAGGCAGAAGAGGCCAAGAGCACAGGATCTCTTCAAGTGAGCCTTGGATTTTGAGTGTAATGGGAAGTCTGAAAGGTTCTAAGCAAGGGAATAACATGATCTGATTCACACTATGGAAGCTACGTGTGGAAGATTCCAGGCAGGCAGAATGGAATACAGAAACCAGCAGGAAACCATGGCAGACATGCACTCACGTGAGACAGTGGCAGCCTGGACTAAATGATGAGATGCAGAGTTGAGATATATTTTGGACAGAAAGCCTACAGAACTCAACAGTAGAGTTCATACACAAGGGGTAAAAAAGAGAAGGGATCCAGGACAGCTATAAAGTTTGTGGCCTGTGCAATGGTGGCTAATGGCACCATTTACTAAGATGGAAAGGTCTGGGGTGTGCAGCTGGAAGTAGGGATGGCATTAAGCATCTGTTCTGACCATATTCATTTGGAACAGAAGATTATTGGGTGCCCGAGAAGATCTGTCTAGTAGGTGCCCAGCTGACCATCTAAGTCTGTAGTTCTTGGGAGAAGGTGGAGCTGAAAACATGGTATACTTGCCCAGTTCTGCCTTCCTTCCCCCTTATTCACATGGCAAACCCCTGAAAGCTTCTCAGAATTCCCAGTGCTCCTCAGAGCAGTGTGAAACTTCATGATTATCTCCAACTTGCCACCTAAATGTGCCTAATGTTTGCATGTGACCAAATAATTACATTTTAAGAAAATGAAAATAGTATTTGCTCATGCTAGAATACATTTATTTGCTCATACCAAAATAAATTACAGATAATTTCAAGAACTTAGTGAAAAAATGAAACAACAAAAGTATGCTACAAGAAAATGCGGGTTGATATTTAGAAAGTCTTGAAGAGAGGAATTTCTCATTGTACATCATGGGCAGAAACCCTTAAAAATGACAAATAATAGTGGATGGGGGCCCTGGCCGGTTTGGCTCAGCGGTTAGAGCATCAGCCTGCGGTTGGGAGAGACCCGGGTTCGGTTCCCACTAAGGGCACGTACCTCGGTTGCAGTTTGTTCCCAGCCCTGGTTGGTCATGCGGGTGGCAGCTACTCGATGTGTCTCTTTCACATCAATGTTTCTCTCTCTCTCTCTCCCTCCAACTCTGTCTAAACAAAAAATGTCCTTGGGTAAGGATAAAAAAAAAAAAATAGTGGATGGGGAAAGGGGGAGGCCTTAAATAATTCTATAAAACATACAGCCTGGCTGGTTTGGCTCAGCGGTTAGAGCCTCGGCCCGAGGACCAAAGAGTCACAGGTTCAATTCCTGGTCAAGGGGATGTACCTGGGTTGCAGGTTCATTCACATCGATGTTTCTCTCTCTCCCCCCTCCCTCCCTTTCATTCTCTCTTTAAGAATAAATAAATAAAAGAAAGATACAAGTAATTTATTTTTTAATCCTCACCCAAGGACATTTTTCCATTTTTGTTCAGATAGAGTGGGAAGAAGAGAGAGAGAAATATCGATGTGAAAGGGACATATCGAGTGGCTGCCTCCTGCACGACCCCAACTGGGGCTGGGGACAAACTGCAACGGAGGTAAGTGCCCTTAGCAAGAACCGAACCTGCGTCTCTCAGGACCGCAGGTCGACGCTCTAACCGCTGAGCCAAACTGGCCAGGGCAAGATACAACTAATATTTAAAAGACAATGAAAAGTTGGGAATACATTTCTGAAGTTTATGACATAAGATATTAAGATCCCTAAATGCAAGCTCACATAAATTGAGAAAAAAGAAAACTGACAAGGATAAGAGCAGAAATTCAAAGAAATATAAATGAGCAATTAACACATGAAAAGAAGTGCTAAGCTTCTAATCAGCAAAAGAACTGAATTAAAACAAGGAGATACTATTTTTCACCTACCAAGCTAGCAAATATTAAAATGGCAATGATCATAGAGTTGGAGCCTGGGCAGCAATTACTAAGCCCTTTCTGGAGACACTTGGATAAAATATATTAATAGCCTTAGATTTTACATGTTCTCTGTCCTACCAAGTCTACTTCAGAGAATTCATCCTAAGGGTGGGGGAATCATGGGTTTTTGGGAAAGATTCAGGTACAAACAATGTTTTTTAGATTAGGATACTCTGTACCTTAAAAAGGTGCTTCAGAATTACATCTAATGACATGAAAAGATATTGCATATACAATCAGATTACATACAGCCTGCTGGTTTGGCTTAGTGGATTGAGCGTCCTCCCATGGACTGGGAGGTCCTGGTCAGGGCACATGCCTGGGTTGCGGGCTCAATCCCCAGTCGGGGGTGTGCAGAAAGCACAATGTTTCGATGTTTCTATCTTCTCTCTCTCTTTCTTCCTCTAAAAAAAAAAAAGCCCTGGTCAGTTTGGCTCAGAGGTTGGAGCGTCGGCCTGAGGTCCAGAGAGACCGGGTTCGGTTCCCGCTAAGGGCACATACCTCAATTGCACTTTGCCCCCAGCCCTGGTTGGTCGTGCGGGTGGCAGCCACTCAATGTGTCCCTTTCACGTTGATGTTTCTCTCTCTCTCTCTCTCTCTCTCTCTCTCTCTCTCTCTCCCCCCTCCCTCCCTCCCTCCCTCCGACTCTATCTGAACAAAATATGGAAAAATGTCCTCGGGTGAGGATTTAAAAAAAAAAAAATCAATAAAAACATATTTTTTAGCCCTGGCTGGTTTGGCTCAGCGGTTAGAGCGTTGGCCTGCAGTCCAGAGAGACCCGGGTTCGGTTCCCGCTAAGGGCATGTACCTCGGTTGCAGTTTGTCCCCGGAACCCTGGTTGGGTTGTGCGGGTGGCAGGCACTCGATGTGTCCCTTTCACGTCGATGTTTCTCTCTCTTTCCCTTCCTCTCTCTCCCTCCCACTCTTTCTGAACAAAAAATGGAAAAATGTCCTCAGGTGAGGATAAAACAAAAACAAAAACATTTTTTAAAAAATCAGATTACAAAACCACATACATGGTCAGGATAATATATGTCAATAGGTATATTCACATAAAGAGATAAAGTGCAAGGAAGTTAACAGCAGTTGAGTTTGGAGAGAGAGTGTCTTTTATGATCTTTTTCTTTCATTCTACTGGGCCTACATTGCTTGATAATAAAAACTTCACGGGGGGGGGGGGGGGGGGGTTCCTATGCATAAAAGACATTCTAAATGAAAAGTACCAAAAATTTAACAAACAATATCTCCAAGTGGTAAAATACAATTCGGGAAAATTTTTCCTGTCTTCTGGAATATAAAAATTTCTGTATTTAAGACACTTTCCATTATAGATATGCATTACTCTTAGTTTTAAAAAGGTAAAATAAACTTTTTAAAATTAACTATCTCCAGTTCTCTTTTGTTATCTTAATTCTAATGACTACTGCCAGGATCACCCAGTACTTTCAAAGTTTATGCCTTTTTTCCTTCTCTTCACTTGTAACACTAGTTTTTTTCCTAATTCTAATGTCTTGGGGAAGCACAAAGGGATTCTCCTGAAACAGGCTGGGTCCCAGATTGATTCTAGGACCTGCAGCACCATATAATCAGGGAGCTTTGTCAGAAATGCAAAATGTGGGCCCCTCCCCCCCAGCCCTAGCTAATGAGGGGTGAGAGAGGTCCTACAAATAATGTTTTACCATAATCCTCTAGGCAATTCTGAGGCATGCTCAAGTTTGAGAACCCCTCTTTCAGCCTATGCTCTAGGCTTTCGGAATCCAAAACTCCTAAAAACAGTC